ACCAAAAAAAAAAATCCATATTCTATACAATTTTCTCCATATTCAAAAAGAAAAAAAAATCCATACAATTTTCTCCTAATTCCAAAAAAAAAAAATTCCATACAATTTTCTCCTTTATTCAAAAATAAAAAAACAAACAAAAAAACATTTCCATACAATTTTCTCCCTATTGAAAAAAAAAAAAAAAGCATTCAAATGTGCCACTTTGACAGCTCAATTTCCCAACATCAAATAGGTCGGATAAAAATGGATATCACGTTCTAATGTGAACATGTCAATGATTCAGCACAACAGCCGCAAAATTTACGAGTGCGCCTCGCACAGCCTCCACTTGTATTCATTTATGGAGGAAACAGGAGCCCCTCTCGGCATGCTTAGTGACTGTCTAAGGTGACATGAATACAGGAAGACTGCGCTCATTAAAATCGATGATCCTTGTCTGGCCGCTAGGATGTGATCTAATCAGCCCGGCTGGCCGCTCATCTTGTGATTCTATTCCACGTTTTGTTTTCCTTTTTGCTGGTATTTTGTCAGCCTTTAAACGGCAAATGATGTCACAAGTCCTGCATGGAATGATTAAAAAGTGGGGGTCAAAATTTGCCCCGTGTTTCTGTATTTCAAATAAAAGTCTATCAATTAAGGAATAAAATAAAATACGACAACGCAAGAGCAAATAAAGCTTGATTTTTTTTGTCTTTATTCCATTTAATCAGAATTGGGTGGCCTTTTTGTCTCTGCAAAAGGTAAGAAAGGTTGACCTTTTAATTGGTCCACTGCAAACAAAAAGATTGTCTCTTAATCGCGTGTGTGCAAACCGCCACCAATTGTGAATTCATCTGACAAAGTGGCTGCAAACTGCTACATCCAGCTCGGCTTTTCGCCAAACACGACACCATCGACCGGATCCGGTGTGCCAATGCCCCACTTTAGCCCAACACGGGCAGACTAAATCCAGAACTTCTTCAGGTGCACTTTTGTCAGAATCCGGTACCTTGACTGACGAGTTGAATTTGCTCCTTGCCCGAGCTTGTATTTCAGTGTACTTGTGTCATCAATCAAGCATGAAGATATTTTAGGATGTGCGTTCACCTGAGTCAAATAAAAATGGACCGAGCATAAGTCAAAAGTCCACGACATGAATAACTGCAATCGCCCGCAGCTCACCTCGGCTGTTGTGTCGGCGAGCGCGCCGCTCGATCGATGACGCTCGGCATCATAAACGTGATGAACGAGAGACGCCGTGTGGCCCAAATGCCGTCATGTTAATCGTGTACCTCGCTATCAACCGTTTTTTTTTTTTACTGTCACGCATGATTGATGGCTTTCAGATACCCAATCGATCTTTTGTAAACGCGCGCAACTGTAACGGTGCGCGATCTTGATTTTGAAGTTGCTGGTAAACGGAAGCGAATCTGGCTGTCTGAGAAGGATGAAGTTGTCTCTCACTTTCGAAAGGGAATCTCCCCGACGGAGCTCAGCCGAGACGACTTCAACCGACGACAGTTGGCTTTGTCGGGTAACATTTGCTGACTGAATGTTTTCAGTGATGACGTTGGAACGCCACAGTTGTCTGGTTCGTGTCATCTAAAATCTTTTTCTTTTTTTTTTTTTAATTCATACGCACGTATTTGTCAGTGACATGTTCATACTGTATTACATGTTCACGGTTTTACATCTTACTGTATTCTACATTGTAGTTTGGCGGCCATTTTATTGGAAATGGTTACAACGAATGATAACGTACAGATTCGTTATGTCCTTCGAGGTTTATAAGATAAAATAAGAACATCTTTATTTGTCTCACAATGGAGAAATTCCCAATTCACTACACTGTACAGTACATAAAATGCAACATTGAGATAAGTGCCAATAAGATGCCCCTAAGTAGGTGCTCCAAATGTCCACGTGGGTCTGCCAAATTGCTCCACTTAGTTTTAAAATACACTCTTGATAATGTATCATTTTCACCCTCAATGGCTTTTCAGTCAGTGAACTTATGCTGTCTTTTACTTTAATGGGAAGATCATTTGGCACTGGCCGTCCATATGAAACGACAGTATTCATCTCAAGAGGGGATTCCCAACGGATGATACCTGTTTATTTTGTGTTGACTTGACGTGTTTCGGAATAGCGGGGAGGTGATTGAAGTATATTAGAATTGGGGTTGGTTTTATTTTGTTTCCGCTGCCTTCTGACGTGTACAGTAGATCAAGTCGTGATGTGCACTCCAAACACTCTTGTTACCTGTTACATAGCCGTCCTAGTTCTCCAGAGGCTGCACGGTAGCGCCGCGGTTAGTTAGCACGTCTCCCTTCCCAACTGAGAGATTCCAGATTCGAATCAGCCCTTCCGAAGTGGAGTTCGGATGTTCTCCTGGCACTTCGGCTTCCTCCCACAGTCCAAAAATATGCACGTTAGGTCCAGTGAAGACTTTAAATCGTCCACGCTACGGGTATGAAAGTCAGCGTGAATGGTTTGTGTCGATTTGCCCTTGCGTTTGGCTCCCAACCAGTCCGCTGTCACCGACGGCATTGTTGTGTGACTTGTCTATCATTGATGGGCATACTTGCTATTAAATCTGCAATATTTGAAGAAAAAATAATCTGTGTTATCTTTGTAAAGTTTGCCCGGTGTGGCTAAATAAAGGATACCGTTTTGCTCGGTCACACGAGGTTGCCCAAAAGCAAGGAAAAGTGTGCGTTTGACCGCCGAGGTGCCACTCTTTGGGCTAAACACGAGCAGGACTTGATCCAAACGCTGCATACGACTGTGACAACTCACATTTGCCACGGCGTTAACGCAATCCATACGAAATGACCGGTCCACCTCTAAAATTGGGTTGCCACGGTCATGACATGGTGATGATATCATCACGACTCTAAAGATGTCATTTTATCTCATTCACTCCCAAAGACGTTTTTAAACGTCTTTTCAGACTTGGTCTAGAATTAGCTGGTACTGAATGAGTTTAATATAAATGTAATTGACATCGTCTCTTTCATTTGGGTCAACTCAAGGAAGAACCCACGTAAAATATGGAATGTTTCTTCTCACACAAAACTGCCTTGCTTCCCAAAAAAAAAAAAAAAAAAAACTGAAATTCTGTTTCTGCGCCTTCCCTTTACGTCAAAATAAATCACATTTTATCGCGTTTGATTCGTGTTGTTTGAATGTCACTGAAATGCTAGGGCAGTTTCACATGCCATAGAAGGCCAGACAGCCTCTAATCGGTAACTAAGCCCGGTCGAACGCAGGTCGTAAAGGAGCTGTCACACAGAGACAAAAACAATTACACAATACAGCAGAACGTCATGCGGTATTCTTTACAGAAGAGAACCGAGGACACGGCCGGCAAGACCTCAACAACAAGCTGCTTCCCACTTCTTCTGCTGTAAAAACCTTCCCACAACGCATGTCACCAGGGAATAAATGTCAGTCAAGTCAGACATTGTCAGACGAGACCGCAATGTACGGGGGGGTGGGGGGCATATCAAAGGATAGATAGATGGTGCAGTGGTTTGTCTTCAAGTTATGTTCCTGATGTTTACATTCTGGCGCGCATCATGCTCTTTTCTGTCACTGTGCCAGAGTGGTAAAACAGCCCACGGATGAGAATTGTGCAGGCGGGATATTTATTTGAAGGCGACTAAAAGATACCAAATGGGATATGAACTGAAGCTTAAAAAAATAACTAAATAATCGATTTTGCATCGCATCACAGTCTGAAAATGAATGATTCTTAAGCACAAAATGGCTGCCAGACAGAGATGTGCACGGGGGCACCATAAAACATAGATGAGGGATGAGCGCATTTTGCCCACACAGATTCATGCTGTAAGACATGAACACGACAACCTGCTTCGGGGACTTCAAGTGAAACATCGAGCACGTGGTCAAAATAGATCACGATAACCGGACAAAACAGACGACAAATTCAACTGCAAAACGATGCCAAGACGACAAGTCAAAATGGAACAAGTGAAATGCACAATGGGACATTTCCTCTGGAATAGCCTGTGATGCAATCCCGTGAAAGGCAGGCAATGTTTGGGTTCCCTCGTGACTCAAGTCCCTAACTTTAGTTTTTGCTTACATTTTTACTTTAGCCCAGCCAGTTCTCATGAGAATATAGCTGGATTTTGTATTCGAAAAAATGCACTCTAATTAGTGGGAACATGTAAATGTTTATGTATCCGGATTGAGAGAACATTTGCACAAACGCGGGTGAGCTGGTAGGATATCCCAGCTGACTTGAAGCGACAGTGGTTGACCAGCCAAACATTTTCACTGTCACATTCAGGACGATGGGCAATTTAAAATCTTCAAAGAACCGAACGTGCATGTTTTTGGAATGTTGGAGGAAGTAAGCCAGAGTACCCAAAGAAAAGCGACAGTCAGCATGCACAGGGCAAACGTGCAAACTCCACATTAAGTATGCCGGAGCCGATTTCTGACAATGAATTTCAAATCAACCCGACCAAATTCAAATTCGACAGCGTGCACAACAAGCAGTCGAATCCTCATCAACTTCTACTTGTGCATTCATGATGATGCTCCAACAACAAAAAAATTTAAACGACAGGAAATCATGGAATGCGGAGGAAAACAATATTTCCATCATTAAGTCAAAAATCCAAAAAGGATAAAGCAGTTCATCCTTCGACGCTTGCTGAACTGTGCATTACAATGATGTCTGACACACAACGACAAATTTTTTTCTACCCTCCCCAAACAATGATTCTCTTTTATATGACCTCGGTAGTCATTTGACCTGAGGCTCCACTGTATCTGGATCACACAGAAAAAAAAAAATGATGTGTCAACTGCTCCTCGGGAGCAAAGATATGTCGCCACAAGGCTGCAAAGCCAACAAGAACAAGAGTAAAGTACGCTGACCATAGCCGCACTCGGAATTCATGACTCACCGAGGCAGAAATGACGACAAAGTTGCTCTTACCAGATGTCAGGAACGCTGAAGTTTCCGTGGCATGAAAGGATATGGGTTACACACAACGCGAAGACACCAGTTGCGAGGCCGCGTGGTTTGCTTGAGGCAGAAGAAGGCCATGGGGGCCAGAGCCGGGTACGGCTGCTGCTCCTCCTCCTCCTCCTCCGAGACGCAGTCCGGATCCCGTATGGGAGCCACGATGCGAACTTCCAGTGTTGGCCCAACATCCTCTTCCAGCTCCGCTTCCTGCACTTCCTGCTCCTGCTGCACGTCGTCGTCTTCTCCTCGTTCATCATTCCTCCTCCTCCTCCTCCTGCTGCTGCTACGGCTACCGGTGCGCTCCATGTGCTCCTCATCACAGAGGCCTCCGGGTTCTACATCATTCTGGTGGGATTTCAGGATAGCGAGCCTCACCTCCTCCAAGACCCCCTCCTGCTCCCGCTCGTGCCCCTCCGGGCTATCTGCATACTGAAATTGCACTCTCCCGTCGCCATCAGTCATGATAGAGCATCAGGCCGATACACTCTGAGGGGAGGTCAGAGGAGAGAGAGAGAGGTTAGCGAGAGGTGGAAAGCGGGAGGGGTCGCGGTGACGGGAGATGGAATCAAGACGAAACATGAAGACACCAATGATCAAAAAAAAAATAATAATAAAATGAATCCAGTTCAAGCAAGATTCATGCTTTCTTTGAACCTCGTGAAGCTCTTTCCTTGCTGAAGCTTCCTTCCCTCCGGAGAAATATTCACATGTATGGAGAAAAGAGCCATTTGCATATCCAGTATATATTGTACATACATAATCGGGTGGCTTCATCGGATCCGTTGTTGTCATTGAAGGTAACTGGAGCCACAGAATGCCAGTGTGACACTGTGGGACTGGTGTGATTTCTTTCTCTCCCTTCCTGTTGCTATGTGATGAACAGATGGACTGCTCTGTCTCTGGTCTAGTGGAGCTTTTGGAGCCCACTCCGCGCAATAGTGGCCAAGAAATGCGCAAAAAAGGGGGGGGGGTGTTTGTGAGAGAGAGAGAGAGAGAGAGAGAGAGAGAGAGAGAGAGAGAGAGAGAGAGAGAGCGAATGAACGTGCCTCCAATCCTGATGCCTGCATTAAGTGAAATACAATTTCAAAATTACATGAGCTAAAAAAAAAAAAACAACAACATCACCTGATGAAGTACGTTCACATCTCACCATTTGTCGAGCGGCCTTTGTTTTGAGACGTGAGAAAGAAAAAGCGCATCTGGCCGGTCACAGCCGTTCCAGATGAGCTCAATATAAGAAATACATTTGAATGATCACATATCCCATACTCGGCTAGCTGTTCAAAATTTATCAAATGTAAGCGCCAATCGGTATCGGATGATACGCCCTCGTGGGGAGGAGGGAGCGTCTATCATCGGTTTTCCTTTTAAAAGTGCCCACATGGACTCAAGGCGTATCAAACCATTTTTAGAGCGCAGACTAAAGTGCGTTTGAAAACGATACCTGAAGGAGACGGAAGTTCCCATAAGCATGATCCGCTTCTTTGCTTGTTTCCAGCGCGCCCAGCAACCGGAGAGAGCCGTTGTTGTTGTTCACCTCGAAAATCCGACTTCTGCTTGGTCTCGGAGATGGAAGCTCATCCTACAGGTGCTCAAAAAATCATTCAAAATAAAAAATAAAAATCACAAGAGGAGAATTTCTTGCGGTGGTCTTCTACGGAAACGTTTCTGCGCATCCTTCCATCCGCGCGTCCATTCTTTCTGTGGTGCCTTGGCGCAGCGTGGAGCGGAGACGCACGCAGACTGCGTGGGCTGCTCGGCTCGGGCTCCGCGGAGGATATGAGGAGGGAGGGGAGAAAACCTTGCCTGACTCGGGAACCCTGACATGTGACGTGCATGTCCGGCTTTGAAGATGGAGTGCAGAGTAAGAGACGGCGCACGCGTGCACAATAGGAAAAAAATGGGGGAGGGGGGGGGAGACAGCGTGGGCGCGCAAAGCACGCGGGGTTTCGTGCATCTCGATGGAGTCGGCAGAAAATTCAAGAATATTTCAGGCTGCGGTGTACGCATACACCTACACAACTGGCATGGCCAACTCATCAGCCAAAAATGGTGGCTGGCTTCGACTAATCAAACGTTCAGTTGACACTGTCAAAAAAAGTCTTCACACTCTAATTTTGTAGTTAGAAAGGGTGTGTTCTGCACTGCATTATCCTTAAAGCCACTTCTGAGATTTTGATGATTAAGTTCAAGGGACTGCGTGGCCAGGATGGCCCGTTTTTCGCTCCAAAAACGCTTATTTTTGGATCAAGAAAATAAAGCTAGCTCGCATTTTCAATGTGATCAATTTCAGTCAATCAGTCAATCACTAAAAAAATCTTAGAACGACCCTTATTCCCCTGCAGTTTGGAGATGCGCTTTTCCCTCCCCCCCATTAATCGGCGAATCATCAGAAGAGGAACTGGACACCATTTTTACAGTCTAATTCACTGAAAATGTGTCGCAAACCTCGTCGACGGCATAAAAGGCAGCAGCAGCCACACTTCACACCACCAGCACGCGTACCAAATAGTTTGCTTCATATATTGTCTCCCAAGACTCCAATCTGACGCAAAGATTGAAATACATTAACATGCATGAAATATACACGCAAATATATTTCATGGATGTTTAATTGTGAAGACGGAACTGGATATTGAATGGTTCCCGAAATAGTTAAGGTATTTTGACGCTGGCCATTTGTCCACTTAACAGCCCTGCTGTTCAGGAGCTTGTCTGGCAGCCCCTCCTGAATCAACACTAATAGAAAGAAGCTGCCAGACGCCGCGTAATCACAACGACAGCTGCCCGCTACGTTCAAATCTGAACAGCAATCATATAGCAGAGAGAGAGAGAGAGAGAGAGAGAGAGAGAGAAAGAAAAAAAAAGCCGGCACATCAATTTAGGAAAAGAAAATGAACAATTTGACATCATCGTAAAGGAGGAGGAGTTGAAGAGTGCTAAACTCACCTACATCAAACACCGCCGAAAGGAGCGACAGAAGAGATTGGGAGCCCTCATCCGTAACCTCGCAATAGACGTCTGGATGAATGGACGGGAAAAAAAAAATCCCACTTGTACACGGCTAGAAACGCTCCCAGCTGCAAAAGGTGGGAAATGACTTGATATTCTTTGTGACTTCCTGTCGGTGTCACGGCCAGGTGACCCGATACGTAGCAGACAAGCTTTGGGTGACATCGACGTGAACTTCCTTTCTATTTGTGATCCGCATGATGAGAGCAAGCAATGGAAGTCAGCTGTGAAAAAGAGACAAGAATAGCTGATATTTGCAGCCGCTATGTATGCGTGCGTGTGAAAACCGAAGGATGACGAGAAACCTCGTGACCTCACCCGTGAAAAAGTCCAACGTACAGACAATGAGATTCTGGAACACACGTCGACTCATCCGGGGTCACAAATTGCAGCAAGTATTTTGGAGATGAGACCGTACGTATGCATTATTTTGTGTGTGTGTGTGTGTGTGTCCGCTTTTACTTTTAGATTTCGTCCACGCGTCACAAAGCGATTTCAATAAATTTCATCGCCGGCTTGTGGCCCCGGTGAGTCACCCTGCGCTGAAGTGGATGTTACGTCTTGTAGAGGAATCGCAATCAAAAGCGGTCTATGGAGGAAATGCTTTGCGTGGGGGGGGTTGCGAACGCTCATTCTCAGCTGTGCTCAGACGCAAGCAGGGCACTGATAGACGAAACCTCCTCATGCACACGCCCTGCCCGACACCTGTCTCACTCTCCCACCTGTCGGCCTCCCATCTCGCAGGAGTAAACACGCATGAGAGCCATCCGTCGACGACAGCCGCATTTTGCAAGCAGTCCCCGAGGTCAAGGATTTCAGAGTTCAAACACACACAAAAAAAATTTTAAATTGGGAGTTAGTCATGCATGAAATCACAAAAGTTGTCGGCGTATCATGCAAAGCTCACAAGCGGCACCTCACCGGGATTCAACTCAACATGCGTCAAAGGTTTGAGAATCACGTGAAGTGAAGTCGGCGAGCCTCACGTTCAAAGCAGAGAGACGCGAGAATGTCACATGTTGCGCCAGTGAAGGCACAATCGATCATTGCGTTGACATTTTGCAGAGGTTCACTTTTTCAAGAGTAGTTTGAAACAAGATCGGCGAGCGGTCCGCTTCATGAGTGGTTCGGTTATTTCTATAAACTTGCTTGACCGCGAAGAATCTTAGAATGTCATTTGGAAACTTTTCCCTTCACAGTGAAGCCATTTATGAGTTTCGCTCTAGAAACGACTCGGTCTATTTATATTATTTCCGATGGGAACGTTTTTTTTTTCTTTCTTTTTACAAAATAACCAATAAATCCCCAAAATTCAGAGTAAGAAATACACACGCAATAAGGAGGTGGGACATCGAAGACACCAGCCAAATAAAACACGATATTCCGACAGAACTTTTTTTTTATACATGTCTTTTTGTTTTTTTATTATATTTGAAATGTATTGAAAAGGACACATTAAAAACCAGAATGAGCTGCTACCCAACTCGTGCATTCAGTCATCCCACAAGGGGAGGGAGGTGGGACATTTGTCTTCACACACCTTTTTATTCCAAGTACGTATTGCCACCCGTCCAACTGAAATGGAATTGGCCCGCGCATCCTACAGATAATCGATACTTCACTGTCAGCCTTCTCTCGTGCACGCTCCGTCCCAACCGCTTCCCCCATCCCCCAACATCCCATCATCCAGTATCCTCCCTTCCACTTTGACTCCCACGCTTGCATCATCCCGCCTCGCTTCCTGCTTTTCTCATCTCCGTGTCTTGTCTTGGGGGGGGGGGACCTACCAAACGGGATGACTGAAGGCAACGGAGAAAGAAGAAGCCCCGCGAAAAAAAAAAAAAGGTTCACAGTTCAAAGGATTAAAAAAGTAGAAAAGAAGACTCAGCCAGACTCAAATATTCCTTTTCAAGCAGTTGCGTGGCAAAACCGGGCCATGTCGATGGCGCACGCTGCGCCCCCTACATTTTAATGATGTCTGGCTGCAGGACCATGCAATCAAGTGATGACTGAATCTAATAAAAAAAGGGGGATTATGAAGCAAAAAAAAAAAAAAAACGCACAATGAAAATAAAAAAGGCAGAGAAAAATGCTATCAAATGCTTTGCGATCCTTGCACACGTCAAAGATGCTGATGACAAACCACACGCGGCGCTTCAGGAGAAGCCTCATTATCTCGCCGCTCCTACGTCACCGTCATCTCCGATGCACATCATTTTGATGGATGGCTATATTTTACTCCCCGTGTTCTCCTCCAGATCCTCTCCCGGGGGACCTGAGACTTCCCATCAGGCATTCTGACGTATTTCAGGAGGAGGGGATTCGGCACGCAAGAGTTGGGAGGGCTTCCCTCCAAACAGCAGCGCAGGCATTTACAGTATCCACAGTGCATGTGTGACGCAAGTGTGCACAAAAGTGACACTTGGGCGTGCAAAGCCTCTGAAATATGCATCCGTGGAATGCATTATTGCGTATGCATTATTGAGCTCGGAGAAAAGTACACTGAGACGGATGCCGATGTGAAAGAGTGCAATAAAAGTACCGTAAAAGAAGAGAGGCGTCGGGGGTTCTTGAACTCAGTCTTTTCCGCCCCTCTTTCTAGCAACGTAGCAATGTAATCATTCCAATTAGGGCGTGGGGGGAAATATCTTGGCAATCGTAAACACAAAAAGGAACAGAGGAAGCAGTTGCATAATCCCACGCGTTCACAGTCACACACAGTATGGAACAGCAGTCAAAGGCACTCAGCCACCCTGTACAGTGGACTCTGCTTGCATGAAAAAGTGACATATATCCCTTACAAAGAGAAAAAAAAAAACAAGGTCAAGGTCATCTTTATTGTCAAATATGCTTTATGTATGACATGCAGCATAGATGAAATTTCTTCCTCTCAATCCTCAGTGCAAATATACATGCAAACATGCTGTGCATTAAACACACACAGCTGAGAAAGGATAGCAGCTACACTTACACAACACAAACAATTAATGATGTTACAATTATAGTGACATTTTGTTTTAGCGGAGCTATTTTTGAAATGGTTTATGATGGCATGTTATTTTTCCTTCTGCGGCTTTGCGTCCCCTCTGCATCCTGGCTGCTTTGATGTGCAGAAAACAAAAAAGCGAGAGGCAGAGGAGAGGTCAGACTGATGCCCCCTTTAGGAAAAAAAAAAAAAAAAATGCAAGGCACCTTCACACACAGCACACCACTACCTCCCGTCACTACCAGCAAAGCCTACCGGCACATTTCACGCCAGCTTGTAGTGACACAGGGAGCTGACAAAAAACAAAGGGGGGGGTGAGTTATGCATTGACATGATGCATAGCCGGCTGGATGGAAGGAATGAAAAAAATCACACACCGCTTTGCTCGTAATCGATCACAAATAGAGACTATAAAACCCCCAAAATCAAGTCAACCAAAAAATTGAAATAATTGATACAGTTCTTCTCCGGATCTCATGAAATTGCACCGGTCTGAGGATGACGTCCAATTTGAAACGACCGTGTTAAAAGTCATCAACATACTGTATAGAAGAGCTGCTTTTATGAAGCGGAATGACAAACCGGTGGTCAGTGCAGTTCGCGGCCCCCTTTCCCCCCCTCCGCTGCAGCTTTGCACAATAGAAGCAGCACACATCGCCGGTGATCACAATGCCAGTAAAAGTTTAAACGGGAGCTAACAGGAGTATCTTGTCACTGAGGCGTTGAAGGCAGAGAGACCTTGAGCCCATCCGCACATCCGCACCAGGCGGTGGGAGGGCGTCTCCTTCACATCACAAGCGCCTGAAATCACTCCGAGGCGATCAAACGCTGCCGGGTGACCGAGCAGCAAAGTCTCCTCCTCATGCTTACATTAAAAAAAAAAAAAAAATTAATTACACTTTCAAATGGGTCTCTTCAGTTCGAACTGAGTTGAGGAAGGTTTCAGCACATTCAAATTCAATCCCCAAGTTGACTAAAAAGGCTGATTGCCCGTGCTTACATTAAAATATTAATTAGGCTTCCAAATGGGTGTTTTTCCGAGTTGAACTTAGTTTTGGTGGGTGTCTGCGCATTCAAATGCGATGACCCACATTTCAAGGAGACATACGAGGCACATTTTTCCCAGGTGTCCTCATCACATATCGGTGAGAACGCGTTTGCCAAAATACCCAAAGGATTTGGAATGGTTGCACATTTCATTCAACCGATTCCCTTTACTGCAAAAAAACGAGGGCCTTTTAGGGGCCAGCTGCCCATTTACTGCTGCAATCAGCATTTGAGCCAGACCTTCATTAAGCTGACAGCCAGCGGGCCAGATTTCGCGGAAGCCTTCCTCCCCGCGTTCGCCTGCCTCCGTTTCCACCGCGCTGGGCTTTGAGCGTTCACGGTGGCCGACTGTTTTGCTTTTACGACATGAAGCCGAGCCCCCCAGAGTGGAAAGTAAGCAATGTCAATGAGAGCGTTTCATCACGCGGAGGCAACCGAACCAACCGAAGGTTACCTCTGTGTATGGGACGCGTGCAAAATACAAATACCCCCCCGCCTCACATCGACAAATTAGCTGCACGTTATTCCTTTATTTTGAGTCAGACGGTCAGCTAATGTGAGAACAATGCAGCTCTGCTTATCGCCTATCTTTAAAATGAGAGCCGGCCCCGAAAAAGCACAATTGTCCAAAATGTCTCGTTAACTAAAGAGTCAAAACCAAGTTGAAAACTTGCAAACCCCAAAACCTGTGTCCATATGAGTACATTTTGAGATTTGAGTGACATCACGTGATGTTGAAACAGATCGAGAAGGTGAGCAATACATTTAAAAAAACAACAACAACAATCAGGAGACAAACATGAAAACACTTCCATGCGCTGCTGAGTCACGCACGCCTTTGAAGCCTCCCCGAGCTTCCTGAAAGCGTCTGTGCAGTCCTCACATACTCAGCTGTGTGTGGCAACTTGTATGTGCATATGGAATTGTGTGTGAGTGTGTGTGTGTGTGTGTGTGTGTGTGTGTGTGTGTGTGCCGAGGCAGCTGTGCATTCCAATCAAAGAGCATTAACCCTCTCACCCTTACGTGCGCCACCAAACCCCAGCCACGACCGTCTCCGTCACTTTATCCACTAATATCTTTGCTTGCTTGCTTTTCCCACCATCTGGACCGGTCACGGCTACCGGTCAGGATATGCGCCTTGCGTGTTGAGGTTTGTCCGGGCAAAGGTTTACGGAAAGAAGAATCTACCGGTTTGAGTCGTAGCTCCTCCGAATTTATCACAAATTAAAAGTGGTCCATGGACAAATGTGTTCCCGACAACTTTTTTTTTTGTCATGTCGCCACATCGAGATCAAGATATTACCGGTACTCATATGTCGTGAGCTCAATATCGGATGGACCAACGACCAATGGGGAGGGAACAAATGAGTGGGATGCATGTGAGAATTTGCGAGTTCCGCATTGAGAGGATACTTAACAAGTTCTGTGGTGACATCGCTCACTTGAACAGCTTCCGACACGGAGCAGTGCTTTGAAAAGTCTCCGGAAAGCCACAAAGTGAATTACCGTTTCATCTGATGTGCTTTCAAACGAGCTCGCTCCCTAATACAGCGTTCGCTGACCTCCAAGTGTTTAGGGTCAACGTTGCCGACTACGTATCGCCTTGCCCTGTGCCACCTAAAAGTACTCATCCGTTTTATTTTATTCATCTTCCAGGAATCTTTTTATAACCGGCGCATTCGCTTTTGACACGTCGTATTCGTCGTATGCATGTTTGCGGGATGAAAACGTATGTTCATCAAGAAAGGATTACTGTCCAGTGTTGCCCTCTAATCTCAACGCAAGCTTGACAGAGTAACAACA